GGAACACCTCCGATATCACAGTGGGAAAACCCAACAGTGGTGACCTGGTAAAAAAAGTGGTAAGTTAGAACTGTTTTCCTGTATTACAACTTTGTCTGCTTTGGTTAACAGATCTCTTGTGACTCTCAAGCATTTGTAAAGTAAGTTATTTGAAAGACCAAAAGATGAAAAGGACTACTCAAAAATAAAAGGCTTTTTTCTCTTAATTGCATTCTCTGATTTAATTAGGTAATTTAGACTGCTGTCAGTTCTGAAAAGCACTTCGTTGATTTTACTAAACTTTGATCACATCTATCTTCAATTTTCTGTATTTAGCAGCTGGAATCAGGATATTCTACAATTTAGTTTCAAAAGCACTGCAAAGTGGTTCAAAGTCCAATGAGATTTACATAGTGAAATATTGTCAAAGTTCTTATAAACTTATTTTTTTACCTTCATACACACAGTACTTCTCAGTGTCTGTGCTAATTTCCAGGCAGAGGAAACTTTTCTGTAGATGAATGAAGCTTGCTTTCTTGAATCATAGAATCATTAAGGTTGGAAAAGACCTCTAAGATCATCGAGTCCAACTGTCAACCCAACACCACCATGCCCACTAAACCATGTCCCTTGAGCTATTTCCTTCTAGTTGTTTTCTACTGGTCCTGTCAAAGCCTGAGTAGAACCATCTATTTTGGAAAGTAAGGCTCTGCTCCTTGCTCCTGAGTACATAGCAACAATAGACATTGTAGCTGTGTATCCTATATGCCCGTTGGTACAGATTTACAAAAGGGAATTAAAATAAACTAGAAAATGACAGTAGAATTTCCAAATATTGAGTGCTGTGATGGCAAGAATGGTAAAGAATCTTGTTGAAACCACAGGCAGTAAAAAGATCAAATCAAATCAAAAGCCCTTACTAGATGGACAGCTGCCAACAAATGTCTTTGTGGCTACCTCTGCTGATAGGATAAAGGGGTTTTTAAATGTGATGATTGAAGAGGCTATTCATAGAGGTCCCTTTTTTTTCTGGATAATGCTGAAAAAATAATTTCCCATACAAGATGTTAAATGACATTTTATACAATGCAACCCCAAAACTTTTACAGTGTCGTCGAGGTTATCGTGACAGGCATGTGTAAGCTTCAGAGGATTTTTTTAAGAAAAAGACTGCATCAAATCCACTGAAACATTTAAATCTTACTTTGGAAAGATAAGAACTTCTGTGCTTCTAAAACTAATATTGTTTGTCAATGGAAGTGATTAACCAGCAACAGTAAAAACTGTTGACCGTAAGCAGCAGTTGGCACAGATTTCTCCCTTTTCACACAGAAGAGGAAAATTTTTGGTATGAGGATAACATCCCCATCTGAAAGTGAAGGTTGTTTTCTTTCTAATCAGGATCGTTTAATCAGGAACATTCATTTGGGGACTTAAATCATGGGTCAAAATTTTGTCACAAAATACATCTAGGTATTTTCTAGGTGGGAAAAATCACAGAAATTGTTTACCAGTTTCAAGCACATGTATCCCTAATAAAGTAAACAAGACCGTTCAGACCTATTTAAAATTACTGGTTCAAAAAGGATACTTTTGAACCCAGATTCAGCACTCTGATTTACCATGCTGTTCCACAAGCAGCTGTGCTTGTTCAGTGGAGCTGGCAGTACTTTCTTGCACTGGGATGAAAATGAACAGCATGAGGCAGAAAGGATGGTAACTTGTTAATCCATTACTGTGGTCCAAGCCCGTCAGACATGGCACATGTTCCCCTCTGCTGACTCTGCTACAGGGTGGTAATCTCTGGCAGGGTCAGGATGGACAGCTGGGAGGAGTGACGCCTTAATCTGCCAAAGCAAGATTCACCAGGGTTTATCTGTTAGATCTCTAGGAAACATACTTAGATGCCTTCTTTAATGACAGCTAATGTTATTTGCAAGAGACGCTGTCCTGTGCAAGTTGAATCAGTGTCATGTTTTCTGCTTTAAGCCTATTCAAAGTGTTTCATCTGTCAAAGTTAAATCAAAATTGATAATGTAACTGCAGCAGTTGGGATCCTACGGACAGTGAAATTTTACATTTTTATGACTCCCCTGAATTTGGCTCTTAAGCCCTGACTCCCAAGCAGTAGGAAAAGAGGGCTGGGTCATACCTAATGCACAATTTAAGCTGTGATTCAGGTAGTCAACCAGGTTATTTACATCTCCCTCTATGTCCAACAAGACTTCAAAATGCTAGAACACACCATAATACTTATTACTTTATTCCCAGACCTCCAGAAACTCTTGTTTTTCCTGTCTGTAGGATATAATTTAATATAAGTAATGCATCATTTAAACAAGATCATTTTTGTTTCTTAGGCTTAAAGAAATGGCTTTTTTGTTTTGAATCTTTGTAGGAGTTGGATCATTCAGAACAGGGTGGAGTGCTTCAGCTAGAACCTGTACTACCCCCAAGGTAAGTGCAATTCTTCAGTGACTCGCTTAAAAGTGGTGTTTCTGAGTTAGTTTGCCTGGTTAGTCTCAATGTAGACACTACCAACTCTAGCCCTAACTCAATAGGCTTGTGTAGGTAGTATGCTCACTAATAAATAGGCAGGACCAAGTTGCTAGCTGATTAATACTTGTTTGTACATTATCGGTATAAGCAGGGAGATTAGGAGGACAGCTGTTTAGCTCTTCAGCTAACATACAGTGGCTGCTGACAGTCGTTCCTTTCTGCATCTTTAACCTTTTCACCCGCAGCTGAACGTAGAACATCCCCTTCTGCATGTTGCTGACCTTTTGATCAACAGCGCTTGCACTTGTGGCTGGGTTTGAGTGGTGAAGGAATGAAGGTGGCAGATGCTGCCACCCTGAAAAGGGCAGATGCTGGGCCAGCACCTTCCCAGAAGCACTGGCTAGTTTATACAGTTCGCTTTAGACCTAAAACGCCTGTGAAGGTGCAGAATCAATGATAACCTTGGTTGTTTTATTCTTTTGAACCCACAAGAAAGAAGGTCTGCAGAGGCAAAAGTAGCTGGATCAGCCTTAAATTAAGGTCCACTAAATGCCAGAGACAAACTGGAAGGAGAGAAGGCTAGGTTAGCTAACCCACTGCACCTATCTCAGCATCTGCACTCTAAATCAGTGGGTTTAAACACAAGAGTTTGCTCTGTTGCGTCAGGACAAGAGAATCTTTCAGTTATTATTGGGACACTAAGTTTAATAATAAGTATTCATTAACAGGAAAGAATGTGGTTGTACCCACAAGGAAACACCTCATTATTGCCCCTCATGGGCTTGTTACTTGCCCCCGTTCTGTTTAGCATAACAGCATTCCAGATTCTCTCGAGGGTCTCTGGAACTGCAGTAAATGTTTTGTCCTTTCACTCTTCTGCTCAAATGGATTTTTTTTTTTTTTAAAAGTAAGCAGTAATAATTCTCTGAATTGCTTGTTAGAGTTTTCTTGTTTACTTGAGTTGCCTTACAAATGTATGGGTTGGTTTGTTTCCAGATTTAATGCAGTCTGACTTGGAATTTCCCCTTTTGTCAATATTAAAAATGCTTAGTTTAGGATGAGGCCAAGAAAGGGGAGAGATGGAAGTTGAACAGAAGTGGATTTTTTTTGAAATTTTAAAAATAATCCATACTCAAAAAGTAATAGAGAACTCTTATCAGGAGCATTAGTAGAGCACTAATATCTTCCCAAGTGATGGATGACACTCACAAAAATATGTCAGAAGGATACTCCAAAGATCCACTAATGCACATTTGTTGTGGTTGATAATTTTTACAGACCCTTGAGGAATTCATACAAGCAAATAATTATGCTGAATTACACTATATGAAAAGAAGAGAGACAATTGTAGCAGAAACTTGCAGTAACTGGCTGAAGATTTCCCAATAACAATCAAACAATATTGTATTTTCAGAATAGTGGTAGTACCAGGGTTCTTAATAACAGGAAGCCAAAGTTTTGCATACATAATGCTTGTTTATAACAGAGGTGATTTTTAATTAGCAAATTATTGATTTGGCCACATGCGTTGATTCTAAAAGTGATGGCTCGTGTACTGTATAGGCAGCTTTTTTTAATCAATGCTTAGTAAGGGGGATTTTTTAGATTTTTTAAATTTTTTTTTTTTTAATTACCACTGTCACTTACTAGTCTCTGATTTTGGTTTCTAAACTACTGGTACACTAATGGGAGCGTGGTACCTCCAGCATTGCCAGAAAACTCGAGTATTTTCACCGGTGTTTTCTTTCTGCAGTAGACATCTGTTGCATCAAAATAGTAAATTCTGCTATTGATGCTATTGTGCAAAGTGGTGTCATATGTCATTTTCAGTGAGTTTCAGCAGAGGCCCAAAAGTCACTTCAGGTAAGTGACATCCCAGGGAATGAGCTAGGCTGATTCCTGAAGACCAGCTAGATCAGCAGTTTCTCAGGGCTTTCACTGAAGCTCTCCACTAGAAGAACTCCATCCTGAGGCAGCTTCAGACAAAGCTCTTTCTAAAGGTAGATTACTGAAAGAAATCCTGCTTATGTAGTGGGCTTCCGAAAAAGCTGGCAGGTTGTTGATAAGCAAAAGTGGTGAGCAGACTTGGAAATATGTAGTCAAAGGATCTGCCTAAGGACTTGATCATCCAGTCCCAGTATCTGAAGAGTTCATGTATTCCCGGAGAGCTTCAGATACTACACGTTCTACAGCCCAGGTCATCATGAGTCACGTTTCCTTATTGCATACTCTATAGCTAGGGCTGTGGTGGAGGATGAGGTGGTGGGCTTATTAATATGCATATTTCTCTGATGGTTTGCCTAATTTTTAGGCCTGTGGATGGAAAAATTATACCTGCTCGACCTCCCCCACCTAAAGGTGTGCCTGGAAGACCACCTCCACCAAAACTCTCTGCAGCCAAGACCTCCTCGCAGAAGGATGCTCTTTCGCGATCTACTTCTGACATTGCTCCTGATAAAAAACCCAGCAAGTTCAGATTGGGACCCAAGAGAGCAAAAAGTCAAGTCTTTAAAAATCCAGACCCAGCATTACCTCCTAGACCTAAACCGGGTCATCCTCTCTACAATAAATACATGGTGAGAGTTGAGATACACTATCTGAGACTGTTGTTTATAAAACAGTGCTGGTTAAAATAGTAATGAAAAAGGTAGTAAGGTAGGTTACTATGATGTGGCTTTCAAAGTGCATCTATCAGCATAATCTTCCTCGGAAAATACTAATAGATAAATAGTAATGAGTCCTGTAAGGTAATACTGGAGAAAGCAATATATACATGCAAAGTATAGATATATGTGTGTGTATTTTTGTGTATATATGTAATTTTTATATATATATCTTTAATGCATAGCTTTTGGTTTTTGGGGGTTCTTTTTACAGTCACCGGTTCTGAATTCTATTACAGCACATAAAATGGTGCTAAATAACTGTGTTTGTATATTGTTTTTCCCTGTATATGTCAAAATGCTTAAGGAAATTGGGGGAGGATTAGAACTTAAAAAGTAGTTTACCTTGCTTAATCAAGCCTGTAAAGAGTGAGGAACGTAACATTACTTATCTTACATTTTCATCCTATTGATGCCATCCCTTTTCATTATAAAAATGTTTCTTTTTGGTATTGCATGTGTTGTTAGGGAATATTAAATATAAATGGATCAACACTACAGATAAAAACGAGAGAGTCTTTCCCCAGATACTTGAAACTGGTCAGTGATCAGACCTGGTGACTGCTTGAACCAGTGCTGTTGGCAAAAAAAACAAAGCACCCACACAACCGTAGC